GGTCTTAGATTATTTAAATCAAATTTGGGAAAATTTTGGGCATTATTTGTTCAAATATTCTTTCTAACCCTTTCTCCTTGTGGACTCTCATTAGGATTACGTTGCTGTGCTTGGTGGTGTCCCACAGGTGTCTGGGGATCTGTTTGTCTTTCTTCATTCTTTTTTTCTTTCTGTCCCTCAGACTGAAAAACCTCAGTTGGCCTGTCTTCAAGTTTGCTGATTTCCCCTCCCGCTCACTCATATCTGCTGTTGAGTTTTTCATCTCAGATATTGAACTTTTCAACTCCAGAGTTTATCTGGTTCTTTTTCATAGTTTCTGTCTGTTTATTGACACTCCCTGATGGTGAGATACTCCCTCATTCTCCTCATGCGTTTCCTTAGCTATGAGAGATGGTTCCCTTCCGTTCTTTGAACGTATTGAAAATAGCTGCTTTAAGGTCTTTGTCTGATAAGTTCAATTCTGGGCTTCCTCAAGGACACTTCCGTTGATTGTTTTCTCCTCCTGTCTTTGGCTACACTTCCTTGTTTCTTTGCATGTCTTATAAACTTTTGTTGAAAACTGTACAATTTAAACAATATAATGTGGCAACTCTGGAAATAAGATTCCCCCCCCAGTCCACCAGAGTGTTGTTGCTGTTTGTCATTGTGTGTTTGCTGTTTGTTTAATGACTTTTCTGGACTAATTCTGTAAAGTCTCTTGAATGAGTTTCTTGTGGTTGCTGTAACAAAGAACCACAAATTGCGGGGCTTAAAACAGCATAAACTTACTGCCTCACGGTTCTGGGGCCAGAAGTCTGAAATCCAGGTGGCAGCTCCCTCTGAGACCTGCAGCGGAGGATCCCTCCTGCCTCTTCCGGCTTCTGGCAGGGGCTGGCAGTCCTCCATGCATCTAGTTTGCACCTGCAGCTCTTCAGTCTCTGCCTCTGCTGTCGGGTGGCCTCCCCGCGTGTCTGTGTCTTCCTGTCTTCTCCTCTTCTTGTAAGAACTCCAGTCACATTGGATCAAGGGCCCGCCCTACCCCAGTATGACCTCATTTTAACTTATTATTACATCAATATATGTACCCTGGGGTGCCACAAACCTTTAGTCTGTTTCCAGGTTCTGAAAAAGCTGATTCTGATGACTTTTGCCAGTGTTGTCATTGTTTTGTGGAGGAGAGGATTTTTGGTGTCCTCACTCTGCCATTCTTACTGATGTCACCTACCTTTTATGTTTAAAGGGTTTATAAAGGTATCATTTACATACCATACAAGTCACTCATTTAAAATGTAAAATATGATGGTTTTTAGTATATTTACAGAGTTGTGCAGCCATCACCATAATCAATTTTGGAGCACTTTATCACCTCCCAAAGAAACCCCTTATTCTTCAGCAGTCACTCCCCATTCCCTCCCAGCCCTAGGCAAGCGCTGATCTCCTTTCTGTTTCTATGAGTTTGCCTCTTCTGGATGTTTCATGTAGATGGGCTCATCCCACACCTGGCCTTTTATGACTGGCCTCTTTTGCTCAGCATCATGTTTTCAAGGTTCATCTGTGTTGTAGCATGAATCTGTGCTTCATTCCTTTTGTTGTTGTTGTTGAGGAAGATTGCCCTGAGCTAACATCTGCTGCCGATCCTCCTCTTTTTGCTGAGGAAGACTGGCCCTGAGCTGATATCCGTGCCCATCCTCTATTTTATGTGGGACGCCTGCCACAACATGGCTTGACGAGCAGTGTGTAGGTCCGCACCCGGGATCCTGACTAGCAAATTCTGGGCCGCCGTAGTGGAATGTGCAAACTTAACCACTGTGCCACGGGGCCGGCCTGCCTCATTCCCTTTTATGGCCGAATAATACTCCATTGTATGGATGGACCACTTTATCTATCCATTCATCAGATGATGCACATTTGGGTTCTTCTGCTCTTTGGCTCATAAATAACATTGCTGTGGACGTTTGTACAGGTCTTTGTGTGGATGTGCGTTTTCATTTCTCTCGCGTATATACCGAGGAGTAGAATTGCTGGGTCATCCAGTAGCTACTTCTAACATTCTGAGAAACTGCCAGATCGTTTTTGAAAGCAGCTGCACCACTGACACACCTACCAGCATATGTGAGCGTTTTCCATATCCGCACCAATGCTCCTTAGAGTCTCTTTTTTCTTTTTTAAATCAGAGCCTGCATAGCGAGCAGTGTCTTACTGTGGCCGTGATTTGCATTTCCATGACCGGTAATGATGCTGAGCATCTTGTCATGTGCTTACTGGCCATTTGTGTGTCTCTGGAAAAATGTCTATGCAAATCCTTTGCCCATTTTTAAATTGGTTTGTCTCTTTTTACCGAGTTGTAAGAGTTCTTTATATTTTCCAGATCAAGTCCCTTACCATATATACAATTTGCAAATATTTTCTCTGGTAAAAGTCTTCTTCCCCTGTTACCTTTTTAGCTTTAGTATTTCCTGTTTTTCCGCATATTCTGTGGTCTAGTTAAATAAGACTTTGCTTTTCCCCAGAGATGCTCTGTTTTTCACTCCTGAAAATACAGTAAGTGTCAGTAAACATTCCTTCAGCGAATGCTCCTTGAGCCCCTCCCTTGGCTGGGCTCCCAAGCAGCCGGCACGCGTCTGAGAGTGGAGCCGGGTAGCCTGCCCTCTTGGAGGTGGCGTGCTGGGGCTGTGTCCTGGCCTCCTCCTCTGGCTCCCAGGGTGCCGGTAAAGTTATCACGGCCGATTCCCATCCTCCCAGAGCTCGGATATTTTTGGATGTGCCTGGCAGGGGTGGACGCTCAGGAGCTGTTTGCGGAGTGGATGGATGAATCAGCGAGCTCAGCGCTCGGTCTCATTCATCACTGTATTCCCTGGAGTGTGTTTAAGAGACGCCCGGGGCTCACTGAGGATACATGTGGTCCCTAAGGAGATTGCAACACAGTTTCAGGGCCATCAGAAGATTTCTACACGGAAAGGGGCTGGGTTCTTGGGATGACTTGGGAGAATGGTACCCTTTAGAGCTGTGGTCTCCATGCACTTTTTGGCCATTAAGGTATTGGGAACTCCTAAGACACACACACACACTTGCACACATATACACATACACACCCCCTCTTACACATACACTCATATACAGTCATACACATATGTACACACTCATGTACGTGCACACATACACACATAGATTCACACATACACACATATACACACTTACACACACACCCCCTCATATATACAAATACTCATACACACATGTACACACTTATGAACATATATCCTCATACACTCACACACTTATACACAATACCCCCTCATATACACATGTACTCCTATACACACATTCACGCACACGTACACACATATGCACACTCATGCACACGTGCTGCCCTACTACTGTATTAGGTACGTTGTAATAATGCCACAAGAGTATAAAGTAGAAAGGCGGAGAGAGAAAATACAACTAGGATGGCTAGTGTTTCCTTCCTGCACCCCGTGACCTGTGTGACCCGGGCCCGATGCCTTTACCTGGGAGCTCGCTGCTCTCGAGCGCATAATACTTAGTTTTTGGGTGGAGTTTTTATGAGGTCCTTGGGGATTTCCAAATAAACGTTAAGGCTTTAGTTTATTTTCTTTCTTAAGCTTTCAGGTCAGTTAAAGGCAGCTACATTTTAAATCCTAAAATGCTGAGTAATTTCACAGGTGAAAATAATCTAGTCATTAATTTTGTCTTAGAATGTAGACCAAAATCGTGCCTCGAAGAATTACTTTAAGGAATAAATCATAAAAAGTGATCCAACCAGATTGTGGAAAATTTGGAAAATAGAGAAAAGAAACGTGCAGTTTGTTGTCCTTATTTATAGCAATGTTAATTGAAAGAAGAGCTTTTTTCCCCTGTAGGATACTTTAACTTTATTTTTATTTATTTATTTTTTTTGCTGGGGAAGATTGTCCCTGAGCTAACATCCGTGCCGCTCGTCCTCTACTGTGTGTGTGGGTCACTGCCACAACATGGCTGACGAGTGCTGTAGGTTCTCACCCAGGATCGGAACCTGCGACCCTGGGCTGCCAAAGCAGAGCGTGCTACACTTAACCACTAGGTCATGGGGTCGGCCCCAACCTTATTATTTTTTTTTGTCTGTAAAGAACTTCTTTTTTCTCTCTGAGGTTCTAAAACTCAGTACTCAAAACCAAATGACTGTCTAATGTGATTTCTTTGTTTGCAGGTTGTTAGGCTTAAAATCTCTCTGTCTTTGCTGCTCCGTGAATGATACGTGGGTGACTCTTATCTATAAGGAAGCTGAAGTTTTAGGCCTTAATTCTTTCATTTGTATGGTTAGGATTCCTAGCTCTAAGTAAGCACATAGGTTTTTTTTTTTTTTTTACCAATTAGAGTGATTGCTTTGGCCTGTGGAAGCGATATGCGTTAATTCTAGAAACGCCAGGACATGTGCACAATAAGATGGCCAGTTTCTTTTGTTTTAATCTCTTTTCTGGACTCTAGAGAAAAGGAGGACTCTTTTTTGCACATAGCTTATGAACAGTTCACTTCTCTTTCTTTCCCCAAGTTGAAAGCTGATTTGACTGGTCCTAGAAATGTGGGTGTGCTGATTCACAGGCAGGTGGACGCCTCTGGCGTGGTGATTGGTGTGAGCAGGACGTGCCCCGGGCATCAGCTCCGCAGTCTGAATGAATAAGTGTGACCTGGCGAGCCTGGGCTTTGGCTGGGGACGTGGCCGGAGTCCACGTGCTGAGCCCGCACCGAGCGGAGGGAGGAGAGCCGGTGGGAGCCTGCACTTTCGGAGCAGCCGTTTTCATTGGGCGTTGGCCTTCTCTCCTCCAGACTTGCCCGTGCCCCAGGTCTGCGAGCGCAGGGACCCAGACCCCAGCCGAATGCAGATGCCTCAGGGGAACCCGCTGCTGCTGTCTCACACCCTGCAGGAGCTGCTGGCCAGGGACACCGTGCAGGTGGAGCTCATTCCCGAGAAGAAGGGTCTTTTCCTGAAGCACGTGGAGTATGAGGTTTCCAGCCAGGTACTGGGTGCGCTGTCCGGGAGAGGGCCCGGTCTGGGGCAGCAGTGGTATGAGGGGAGAAGGGCCGGAGGGAGACAGACAGTCAGTGTGCCCGGCTCAAAGGTAGGACCCCGAACTGGATGGTGGGGAGCCATGCTGCCCAGCAGACTTTCCACAGTGTGTGCGTCCCTGCGTCTTGCTCTGCTCAGCCCTACCCTTGGTGCAGCCCGCCCTCTCCAGCCCTGTGCTCTGGGACGCTGCTGCCCGGGGAGCTCACACAGGTGGTCTGCAGAGTGCAAACCCCGGAGACGGGCCAGCCAGGGGTGGTTTCGCAATATCGGGATATCCCCGAGGATTGGAATGTGGATCCCATAGAATAATGGACTCTGAATCCCCTTTAATAATGCTCTTCCCTGTTAGGGGCACCCTGATGCCCGAGGTGATCAGATGCCAGATGCCTGGTGCAGGGTCGGCCCGTGCCCGCGTAGAGCCCTGTGGCATCAGCAGCATTGACCTTTCTGTCCTTTTGTCCATCATCTTTCTGTATCTTGGTTCAGTTAGAATAAACTTTGATGGGAGTTTTTATTCTTTATCCTGGGGATTAAGTAATTGATGAACCAAGAACATCCCTGGGCTGTGTTTGCGGGGGCTTCTGCAGGTCGGAGTGGGGGCCCCCGCCAGTGTGGGAGCCGCTCTGGTTACGTGCTCATGGCCAGGGCTGTGGTTGGAAAAGTCTCCTAGTTGTCACCCCAGGTCAAAAGAGTTCACGGGCGGTCCCCCATCAGGCTGTTGGCTGTGTCCTGTGAGACTCCGGAATCACAGGGTGGTTGTTTCATTGTGTTTTAAAGCCGCAGTGACAAAAGCCTGCGACACTTGTCAGTGCCGCTCCCAAGGGAGGAAGGCAGAGGTCAGCGAGGGAAGGAGGCCCTTCCTGGGGTTATTGCAAGGACGGCATGGCTGTCTGTCCCCGCCGTGGGTCTCGGCCTTGTCGGCTGCTTTCGGCGGTGGTGAGAAGCAGCCACGGTGCTGGAGGCACCGCCTCGCCGTCTGGGGCCTCGTCCCGGAGTGAGGCGGCTCCGAGCGTTAGAGAAGCTGCTCTTCCAGCACACCAGCAGCCGGCCTTGTTTTCCGTCTGGTTACACTGCTCGTTTCTTAAGTAAACTGACTGCCTCATAGTGAGCGTCTTTATAAGGAGGTAATTTTGCCTGGTTACCTCCTGAAATGTGTGTGAAGGGTTCAGCCTGTGAAGGTTCGCACAGTGGGGCAAGCCTTCTGGGCCACGGGTGTTCTCTGGGTGTGCACCCTGCTCACCGTCCTTGCTGGAGTCTGGAGGAAGTACAAACGTGGCGTGAAGCGTAGGGTCACCTAGAAGAGAGGTGGACACGTCTGACTTCATAGCTTTTCTTCATATAGCGCATTTAACTCTTATATAGACTTTTTTTGGGGAGTAGTTTCAGGTTCTCAGCAACACTGAGCAAAGGAACTGAGGCTTCCCACGTGCTGCCTGCCCCTACGCAGGCACAGCCTCCCCCACTGTCAGCACCCCGCACCCGATGGTGCATTTGTCAGGACCGAGGAGCCCATGTGGACACATTATAATCACTGGAAGGCCACGGTCTCCGCTGGGTTCCCTCTTGGTGTTGCATGGTCCATGGGTTTGGACAAATGTACAGTGACGTGTGTCACCATTATGGTCTCACACAGAGCAGTTTCACTGCCCTACAGACCCCCTGTGTCGGCTGCTCATCCCTCCCTCCCACAAGCCCTGATCTTTTACGGTGTCATAGTTGTCCCTTTTCCAGGGTGTCGTAGGGTTGGAACCACACATAAGTAGCCGTCTCAGGTCGGCTTCTTCCCCTCAGCGATCTCATTAGTAATCCGTGTAGCGCATTGAACTTCAAGGGGAGCGTCCATGCGCATTTCTTGTGCCTCTCATCTGGACCCAGGTGAGGGTGCTCCTGAGTAGGATGCTGACCTGGTGCAGGCTGCAGGTTTGTCACCGTGGGGTACAGGGTGGCGTTGGTGGGCAGTCTGGTCGAGTCCCGTGTCTGCTCTGTGTCCGTCTCCCTCTCCTGCGTTCGCTCTGCTTGTGGACAGCTGGGCCTGTGTCAGGAGGCAGCGGGCCGCGTGTCGGCGTTACTGGAAGGTGCACGCGGAGGACATCCCCTAAGATGGAGTAAAGGATGCCTCCTCCTTCCGTGCTACCTTTTGAGGGTGGGATGGATGCCCAGCTTAGCAGCGGAAATCGGTCTTTCAGAAGATCCGGAAGAATAGTTAAAAACGAAATTAGAGCTACGCAGCGCTTAGCGGCCGTGTTACCGAATGTTAAGGAAGCACGGCATTTCTCCTGGTCAAGGTCTGGTGAGAAGAGGTGAGCAGGTCAGTCGCGTTGTCTCCGTGGGCTCTGTTTAGTGGCGGGGAGGGAGGTTAAAGGGAAACAGCGAGGCGTGTGTCCGGTGTGGGATCTGAGCGCGGCCCTGTCCCTGCAGCGCTTCCAGTCCTCCGTGTACAGACGGTACAACGACTTCGTCGTCTTCCACGAGATGCTGCTGCACAAGTTCCCCTACCGCATGGTGCCCGCCCTGCCGCCCAAGAGGATGCTGGGAGGTAAAGCCGGTTTGCGGCGGAGGGGCGCCGAGGCCTGGCTGGGTGATGGATACCACTCTCTGCTCCTGGTGGGGGGGCCGTCTGCCGCGCAGGCTGGTTGGCGGTAGGGCTGCAGTGCAGCACCAGCCTCTCGGTACGCTTGGGTCGCTGCTGCGGCTGAGGCCCCAGGTCTGGCCTGCGGAGGGGGACGTCACCTGGTACCCTTGGCCTACATGAGCCTTCTGCTCGGTGACTGACACGTAGGGAGGTGCCTGCTGTGCAAGGGAGAGCGTGCGGACCCCAATTCTCCTTCCAGAGGGCAGTGGCCAGGACGTGCCAGGGCTCCTGGGTGGGGGGCCAGGAGCGCTGTGGGTTTTGCCCGCTCGTGCACAGTGGTGCGAACTAAGCAGCGGGTCCCACCACAGTACTAGCTGGTCCCCTGGAGGAGAGCAGAGTAAATGTAAGATAGGCGATCTCATCTGCATCTTAAAGGAGATAAAAAAAGACAGCACAGAAGCAGCTGCCTCATTTTCATTGCGTCACCTGCAGTTACCTGGGGCCAGGTGAGAGGTCACAGGTAGCTCAGGCCCCTTGGACTGGCCTGTGTCTCCCAGTTCCAGAGCGCAGGGGGATGGCGGTGCCTTCTCTGGGGTCTCACCGATCCTCCCACAGCCCTTTTCTCAAATTCTGAATAAAACTCCATGAGAAGGCGAGTGCCCAAAGCCAACTGGTTGGTTTTCTGCCATTTTCCCAGTGATCCTACAGTAACTGTGCTCGAATGGGGAGATAGCTTGAGGTTTAATACAGTGGGCCAGTTTTCAGCATTCTCACATCTCTTAACGTTGCACATCAGCACTCTTGCCTCCCCCTGGTCCGGGACCAGCTCAGCATCTGATGATGTCGTTTTCCTCCCCCCTCCCTGCCCCGTCCCTCTGCCCCGGAGGGACGGGGAGGATGCCAAGGGTGGTGAGAGTGAGAGCACAAGTGCGTTGGGAGTCAGGGGAGGGCTCACCACGCTTCCCAGGCCATTCAGCGCGGTTACTGTCGGGGCCCTGGAAACACGCATGCGGAGGCATGGCGCTGTGGTTCAGCGGGTGTGAAAGAAAGCGCGGCCTTCTGGAAGGGTTGCTGTGGCCTTGAGTGGGGAGGGAACCTCATCCTGCTGTACTTTTCAGGGTCTTAAAAATATTTTAAATACTACTTCTATTTGTGGTCAGATTTAAGTCCCTTAATTCATCAATTTCCACTTTTACTTTTTTTCCCCCTGAAGAGAAAAGGTGTAACCTGAATGAAAGCAATTAATGATTGGATCCATTACAGAGTTACAAGTGATGTCCACAGGGAAACGGGGTTGAATTAATGCACGAGTGTAGTAAAACCCACTTGTTCATAGAGAGAAGTTCCAGAAGGGATTATAGGAGACGTCTTTAATTTAGATGATCGAAGGGGGGAGGTCTGATGCCACTGATTGCGATGAAGGGGACCTGTGGTTTTCTGCGCCTGAGTGTTTGTGGGGGGCAGGGCGGGGGGCGGGGGCTCTGTGACTCCCTGTCCAGGCCCCTCGCTGGCTGTGTGGCACGCTCCGGGCTCCTCTCCTGAGACGCTCTGACGACCCTGGGTGTGAGCTGAGCCCGAGAGTGCGGTCACCCCGGGAGAGGGTCATGCCCGGGCCCTGCTTGGTGACGCCGTGTCCTGTCTTCAGCTGACAGGGAGTTCATCGAGGCCCGGAGGCGGGCACTGAAGCGCTTCATCAACCTGGTGGCCCGGCACCCCCCCTTCTCCGAGGACGTGGTCCTCAAGTTGTTCCTGTCCTTCAGCGGTCCTGTGAGTACATTTGGGGCTGCGCGCACGCGGTTCGCGTGGCGGGTCCTGCTGTTCCTGCGCTCTTGATTCATTCTTAAGGTTGCTTTTGTGCTCTTGCTCTCCCCTGGCCTCATTTCCCCCGACTGGGCGCCCTGACGGACTCTGCTGCACACCTGACTGCCATAGACAGGATTTATTTCCTTCCCGCATAGCGGGTTGAGTGTGACTTTAGAGGCGTCCCTGGCTTTGACTTTGCAGGATTCGGGGCATCCACGTGGAGGCGCTGGGCTCTCGGGGCGGTCTCTGGGGGACTTGAGGCTGGTACACAGGAGGCTGTATGGTTTGAGGGTTTACGGCCGTGCTGGAGACTCCAGATGCACATAAGTGTTTACTTAAAATAACGGCCATGTGGACTAAGGAGCAGAGGAGGAGCCGAGCCTCCGCCCCAGCCCCATAGGGGAGGCCACGTTCTGGAAGTTATCTCTGCGTGTCCAGCGACCCCAGCTAGAAAGCAGAGCGGCAGTTTCCTCTCTGCCCTGCTGCTGCGCAGCCTCGATGGGTCGGGACGCCGAGGCAGAGCCCTTGTCGCCGGCCGAGGAGGAAGACCGCCTGGCAGGCCACCTGGCCCGGGCCTCCGCTCTTCCTTCCCGTGGGAGGAGAGGTTTGCCTGAGGGGCCTTCTCACGGTGGCCGGGAGGGCGGGCTCCAACGAGGACGCTTGCCGGTGGAGGGCGTGTGTCCCCATCTCTGCTGTTGGAGGGAGCCCTTCTTGAGCAGGGACTGGGGGGCTGAGCGCCTGCCCTCATTGCTGCTGCGGAAAGATACGGGACTCGAGCAGCCAAGGCGGGGACAGTGCCAGCTGCCTCCGTGTCCCCTCGCTTCCTAGTGGCAGAAGGGGCCTCTGACCCCCAGGGAAGGCTGGGGGTTTTCTCTCCGTGATGCCCCGGGGGTACCCATTGTCGCTGTCCCTCGTGGCAGAGCCATGCCGGACTTCAGTGAATGCTTGCTGTGACCTTCTGCCCTTGAGCTGGGAGCAGGGGTCTTTTGAACCCCCGGGGTGGACAGGTTCCTTTAGAACAGGGGTCTTTAGTGCCAGAAGAGGAATGTGGTGGGACAAGGGAGCTGCACGCGGCTCAGGACACAGCAAGGGGAGGCAGGAGGGTGTGGTCGGGCACAGAGCCCACGCTGCCCCTGCTCTGGGGGGTGTTAGCTCCGCTGACCTCTGCCTTTACACAGATGGGGTGTCCCCGGAAACTCCTGACTCCATTTTCTCTTTTGGTAAAATGAGAAAACTGGGACAGATGATTATTAAAGCATGGCTGCATTTTAGAATTCCTCCACCCGTCCACACACGGCTGCACGTGAGCATCTCTGCCCGTGTGTCCCCTTGGCACCTTATCGTATGGCGTGGCTTTGCTGGGGGCCTGCTTTTGGAAGGCAGGCTTCGGTGCCAGGGCTTGGGCCCTGACGGTCGCCCGTCAGCTCTCCCGGGGTTCTGGAGGCCCGGTCCTTGAGTCGATTCACAGGAAGGAGGAGACCTCAGCTTCCGGCTCTGGGGATCTAGTGACTGGTCTGTGGGCGGAGTGAGTGTTTTCCGGAGGGAGACCTCTGCTCCAGAGCTGCTGGCTTTGCAGTCCTCTTGCTAAGTCAGGCTCCCCTGTCCTTGGAGGACCACCTAAGGTTGAAGGTCGATGGAAAAAAACCACAGAGGAGACAGTGAAGAGGTTTGGGAATACTTACATAAGGGCAACAGTGCAAATGTTTCTCTTGGGGAAGGACCGCCTTTTAGCGATTTCCCTGGGCTCACCGCCTCCTGGGCGGCCGTCGAGGGTGAGCTTGCGTCTGTTTCCTCTTGCAGGACGTGCAGAACAAGTTAAAGGAGTCGGCACAGCTGGTGGGAGATGAGTTCATGAATTGCAAGCTGGCTACTCGCGCCAAGGTATTTTCCTCACTTCGGTGGTGACTTCTCTGAGCCGGAGCGATGGCAGTTTTAACAAGTGCTAATGCTTATTTGCCTCCACCGTGTGCCAGTGATCATGCTGAGATGCATGGCCTGTTTTTCTCATTCAACCCTCCCTTCAGCTGCTCTGAAACATAGTGGGTGTCACACCCTTGTCACAGGGGAGGAAACAGGCTCGGAGAGGCTGCCGTTTGCCGAGGTCCCATCCTTCTAAGAAGCAGAGCCCGGATGGACTGGGCACTGTCTGACCCAGGGCCCACCAGGCTCTTGCACCGTGTCCCGAGGTGTGTGCGATGCAGGTGGACATACGCTTGGTCCCCAGCTTTTCAGATTTCACAGGATTGATTGTTGCATTGGTTTGTTTTTTTTTTCCCCCGCTGAGGAAGATTTGCCCTGAGCTAACACCTGTGTCATTCTTCCTCTGTTTTTGAGTATGTGGGCCCTTGAAGCAGACCACGCCTAACTTACTACTAGGCCACCGGGGCTGGCCCTGCACTGGTTTGTTTTAGAATTTAGTTAATCTGCTCTTTTTCTAAGAAAGAGGAAGGTAGCTATTTTGTAGTTTTTTTTTTCTTTCTTTAATTGCTTCTCTACAAAAATGCAGACTGTTTTAGCTTCATTTTATTCCCTAAGCTTTCTGCTTTCTAATTTTTTTTTTTAAAGATTTTTAATTTTTTTTCCTTTTTCTCCCCAAAGCCCCCCGGTACATAGTTGTAAATTCTTCGTTGTGGGTCCTTCTAGTTGTGGCATGTGGGATGCTGCCTCAGCGTGGTTTGATGAGCAGTGCCATGTCCGCACCCAGGATCAGAACCAACGAAACACTGGGCCGCCTGCAGCAGAGCGCGCGAACTTAACCACTCGGCCACGGGGCCAGCCCCTCTGCTTTCTAATATTAATAGGTAGTTAATGTTAGAGCTGATAGAAAGCTGTTCTTGGGAACAAGGAGTACGGGAGGCCTTCTCCTCACGTGGAGAGTCAGCACTTTACATTCATCATTTTGGGCTTGAAGATTATCGTTTGAGTGTTTCTTGACACGACCTCCAGTTTGATCCAATTTCAGTGGACATTAGAGACAGAACCTCCCGGGAGCCTTAGCACTGGTGGTGTACCGTGACTGGACGGGGAGGGCGGTCCCCTGCAGGCGCTGGGGGAGAGGAGTGGGCCACAGCTGGCCTCTGCGTGACCCGGGCTTGGGAGTCCGGGCTCACTGGGTGGCTGCGTCGGATGGAGTTGCTTCATCTCCTGTCGGCCACCCCTTCTGAAAGGCATCTCCCGTCTGGTAGTCCACGGCCCCTCTCTGCTCGCCCTGCCAGGACTTCCTCCCGGCCGACATCCAGACGCAGTTTGCCATCAGCCGGGAGCTCATCCGCAACATCTACAACAGCTTTTACAAGCTGCGCGACCGGGCTGAGCGCATCGCGTCGCGGGCCATCGACAACGCTGCTGACCTGCTCATATTCGGGAAGGAGCTGAGGCAGGTGACCCTGTCAGGCTCTGACGGGGGTGGGTGCCGGGGGTTTTGTAGATTTCGGTGGCGGACTTGGAGGAGGAGGTACGTTTACCTTGATAACCCTCCTTCCGACCCGGTTCACTCCAAAAGGGGAAGGGGAGGGTGGGGGAAGTGGGAGAGCATATTTCGAAGAAAAAAGGTGGAGAATTTAGGCAGAGAAATGTGAATTCCCAAACACGTGAGTGCTCGCCAGTTCCTCAGGATATTTTGCCCGTTGTTGAGATTAGACTTTAAAGAAGGTGCGTCTGACTTGGTAAAGGGCGCCGTGGGCTGCGGATGCCTCCTCCAGCCCGGGGGCAGGACCTTCCTTGGGCCAGGGCTCTGCCCCTCAGCCGCCTCTGGAACCGCCCCCCCAGACCTGCCCCTGCACGCATGTCGCCGGGGGTCTTGTTGAAGAGTTGGTTGAGCAGGTCTGGAGGGGTGGGGGGCCGGGACCCTGCCTTTCTATCAGACTCCCAGCTTCCCCATGGACCACTCTGAGCGGTGAGGGTCTCGCTGGGGAGACGTGTGCAGGTGGCCCTGGGATGACGTGGCGTGCAGGCAGAGGGCGGGGCTGGGCGGGACTGCCCGGCAGCTTCGAGGCCTCGAGTGTCTCCTTCTCCCTCAGTGCTCTAGGGTCTGACACGACCCCGCTGCCTTCCTGGGCCACCCTCAACAGTAGCGCATGGAGCTTCCTCAAGCAGGCGCTGAAGGGCCTGTCCGTTGAATTCGCGCTGCTCGCCGACAAGGCTGCTCAGCAGGTGAGTGGCCCTTCCCTGAGCCTGGCCCCAGGGCTGTTCGTGCTGGGCGCGGGGGCGTCTCCCTCCCGGGAAGGTGGACTTCAAAGTGCTGAGTCTGGAGCGAGCGGATAGCTGTTCTCGGGTCGGAACTCCACGCCCCCATCCATTCCGGGTGGCTCCCTGTGTGCCACTCATGCTCTTAAGAGGGTTGCTGATGACAAGAGCAGATTGGGTTCTGGTCTCTTGAGAGTTGACTGTGCTGAGATTAGAAGATAGAATCCGCCGTTGAAGATGCAATCTTGGACTTCCCAGGATACTTCTGGTGGCCCAGGTAGTTCCCGTTTTGCTGTCCCAGTATTTGGCCACTTGATAACTCGTGAGAACAATGACTAAGCTCCCAGTACCCCGGGAGACCCCCTCCTGTCACACCAGGTACCCTGTTGACCCCGGGAGGTGCTTCTGCTGTATGAGCAGCTGCTCTTTCTAGAGCTCCGCACAGACTGCTCGTCGTTGGGGATTGATTTGAAGATGCGGTGTTTCCCGTCCGATGGGGGAGGCGTCCACTGGGGGCTCTCATGCTATGACACTGTTACATAATTCTGAGGGCGAGGGTTTGCCGCCCAGTTCCTGGGGAAGTGGTCTTCAGGCTGCCAGTGGATGGTTTTAAATAAGTTAAAACGATGCAGTGTGAAAGCCTTGCACCTGTCTGAGACTTGAAGCTCCTTGGCAGTAAGTCGGATCTGCGACTGTCGAATCGGGGTGAGGAGGGGGTGGTTCCAGGCTTGAGGCGGGCGCTCAGGTGCCGGGATGCCTCTCAGTGCTGGAGGGCCTGTGATCTCATCGCTGCTGCGGAAAGTTCTGGGGTTTCTTCCTCTGTGGTCCCGGCCTGCGTTCCCTTTAGAAACTGAGCGTTGGGCGGCGTGGGCGTCCCCGGGCTGCCGCTGGGCCCCGTCCCTCCCAGGACTGAGAGGTGCCCACGTTTCCGCGGCAGGAGGACCAAGCAAGTAGCGTGGGAGGTTTGGCCGGACAGAGAGGGGGCAAGCTCGGCAGCCTGCTCTGCGCTCGGCCAGGGCCCTGTGCTGGGACCTTGCTCAGGCTCCTTTGGTCCCTGGGCCCCTTCCCTGTCGACGAAGCACAAGGCGGGTGGGCAGATCATTCAAAACCTCTTCTTAGCCCGCTGAACGTTTACTCAGAGCTCAGTCCGTGAAACATAAAAGTGAAGCTACTCTGGTCACGGGGACCTTGGCCCTTGGCCCACGGAGCCCCCTCTCCAACAGGTAGCCTCCTGGGGGGGGCAGGAAGCCCCAGGGTGTGCAGAGCGCAGGACGGGAGATTCCCAGTCTGTTCTGATTCCGATTTGGATGCTTTGCGTCCGCCTTGGAGAGAGAGGGAGAGCGGGCAGGCTGCTGACGGGTCTGTTTGTGGCTGAAGTTCCTCCCCACGCCGAGATCTTCTGATATCTCATGAATGCTGCTTTGAAATTTAATGAGAGGGGCTGTTTCCCAAATATTCCTCACTGTCCTTAGTGGTTTTCACGTTGGGGTGAAATTAATACAGTTTTGACATGAAGCTGGATCAGACAGACGACCTGTGAGGACTTCTGTCCAGCACGGCGAGTTCGTTTCACTCTCGCTGCGCAGGTGAAGACGTCTGAGGGCCGTTTTTATGAATCCTGGTTTTATTCTCCCCAGACCTGTAGGAGACCGAGATAACTCTGTCCCAGCAAGACAAGTGAGACTCGAAGTAGGCTATTGATGCTGTGTTGGCAGGATGTGTGCGTTGGTAAAGGCACACGTGTTGGTGGTTCAGGGTGGTGTGTGGCATCAGACCAGAAACAGGACTTGGTGGCAGACGACACAAGCAGGAAGGACCTGAGTCGCCCCTGCTACTAGGCCAGAAGAGGACCCTCCATCCTCCCACGCCCTCTGCCTAGTAAGGAGGGATCAGGGCGCCTGTCGCCATTTGGCCTTTTCCTCTCTGAGTTTTAAAAACCTGCAACATGCCTGTTGTTTCCTGTAAACTTACTGGCCAGAATCTCGGCTGCGAGTGTGAAATTTAGTGGCCTGGAACCTCTGAGCTCAGCGGGCCTGAGAGTCCCAGGGTCCTGATCCGAGCTGGTGCCAGAGCCTGGGTGGGAGCCCCCTGCTCCCAGCCTCATGCTTGTATCCCCATCCAACTCATCCTTCTCTTCATTGCTTCTGCCTGTACCCTTCCTGCACCAAGTCTGATGTGCAGTTTATGGGATGACCTTTTCACTCTGCCACAGCTGGAGATCTAGAGGTCATAGAAGGGGCTCGGTTTGCCCAAAGAGCTGGTATTGAACCTGGGAGAGTTGCTCAGTAAACACCTTGGAGAGGTGCTCAGCAAACCCTTGGGAGAGGTGCTTGGCAAATGCCTAGGAGAGGTGCTCAGCAAACACTGGGTGAAGTGCTTGGTGAACACCTAGGAGAGGTGCTCAGCAAACACTTGGGAGAGGTGCCTGGCAGACACCTGGGTGAAGTGCTTGGTGAACACTGGAAGAGGCGCTCGGTGAATGTTGGTGGCTGAGGGACATGAGCTGTGCCAGAGCCCTTCAGGGCCCGCAGCTGTGACCGCAGCCTTAGCAGGGATGTTCCCAGGAAACCACCTCAGCGCTGAGTGTGTCGCTGTGGTGACTGAGGGAGGGGTGGGGGCCGCGCAGGCCTGTGCCTGCCGGTTCCTGGAGCAGGAAGTGGAGAGACCACCAGCTTCTTCCTGTGGCCTTCCCTCGGGCACTCGCCGTCTGCTGAGTGGATGCTCGCTCGCTCCCTGAGGCCCCCTGAGCCCAGGGTTTCGGTGCGGACTCTTCCTGCCCGGGAGTGGCTCTGAGCATCGGTGCTGGTCGGGCCGTGTGCACGATGGCTTGTCTGCGCGTCCTTCCCCATGCTCCTGCTGCTGGGAGCACACGTGGCGGGCCTGGGGCAGTCTGGATCATATTTGTGTCCCTAGGATGCGGTGGTGACTTCACCCCCTCTGTTGTCACCAGGATACCCCATTCTGCTAACAGGGCCGCCCTCCGTGCCACTGTGGCCTCTGTGGTTTGGGAGAGGAGCTGTGGCACCATGCAGCTGTGGGCTTGTCTCCGTCATTGTCACCTCTGTGCAGGATCCAGCAGAGAGTGTGCATCTGGCCCACCCTGCACCTGTGCTCTGTGCCCTTTCTCCTCTTCCGCATCAGCCTGGGCACAGAGGGGTCTTTGTTCTCTTATCTTACCTTGCTCTCCCAGGTGTGGTCCTGCAGCTGCGGACTCTGTCCGCTTGCCCCTCCCCGCCTGTGCTCCTTTCCTCTTTTGTTAAGCTCCCCTTCCTTCCCAGCCACATCCCTCCTTTTTGTTTCCCCTGTTCAACACTGCTCACAGCTTCGAATAGAAGCTTGAGGTTTCTGGCGTGCTGGTGGAGCCGCGGAGAGGGTGTTTGAGGCCCCTGGCGCTCCCGGTGTATGTCGGGGAGGACGTTGGCTTTGGGACCCCGGGAGGACACGGGGTGCTGAACGGCGAGCACGCCTGGGCAGGCGGCCTTGGGACCCGAGGCCTGATCCTCGTCGGGCTGCTGGGTGCAGGTGCTGTGCCTCGTGTTTGGGGGGCTGTCGTGGGGAAGGGGCTCTTCTGTGGAGCTGGCTGGTGGTTCCGGGGGCAGAGCCCGCCCAGGCCTGTGCATGGGCCTGCGCTACCCGGCTGAGTCTCGGGGTGCTGCTCGGCGTGCTAACCCCCCTCGTTTTCCAGGGCAAACAGGAAGAGAATGATGTGGTGGAGAAGTTGAACCTCTTCCTGGATCTGCTGCAGTCCTATAAAGTGAGTCTGGGCTGCTCCCTGGGCGGGGACAGAGCTTCTGAGAAGGATCCTGTGATCTTTCAGGGTGTAACTCCGGGGGATGGAAAAAACGTGGAGAAGCCAGAGTTGCAGAGGGAAGATGGGCCTTATGCTGACTCTCTGATGTTATTTCTCCTCGATGGGCTCTGCGGAGTCTCTGGGCTGTGGTCCCAGCAGGAGTGCAGACAGGCCTCGGGCTTCCCCTGATCTGAGAATGGGGTGTGTGTGTGTGTGTGTGTGTGTGTGAGCTCTCTATAACTATGTGAGGGGCTGGCCTGGCAGAGAAAGAGATGGCCTCTTTGGAGTATCAGTGACCGAATGGATGGCCTGTGAAACCAGACAATCCTTTGTGCTGAGCTCAAGGAGAGAGCTGGCCTGGTGACTTGGGGAATGTTCCAGAAGGGATTTCTCTGTTGAGTGGGATGGTAGCCCAGTGGCCTTGAAAGTCCCAGCCCTGTGGTCCTGCGGCTAGTATTTCCCACTAGGTTCCTGATGGGGGTTCTTTTAGGGCCCCAGGGAAATGCCCATGCATCTTCCTTTTGGAGGCCGCCTGGTCTTCTTGCTGCTGGGGGACACTGGCTGTCTGGACGCTGTGGTCCAGGCCTGGCCCAGCGCCCGGACTGCACGGTTCCCTCCAAGCAGGGCCTGTTGACGTGGGTTTTCTTGTGGTGCTGATTGGCACTGCGACCCCCTCCTGGGTTGCCCCTGGGCCGGCACCCCTGAACTGCTGTTCCGTGAACGCTTTCTGAGCGTGGGGCGTGTGGGGCACGTGGGGCACGTGTGACCCAGTTCTGAAGGGGAAAGCCATCCTTGGAGAAGGCTGCTGACGCAGACGGGGACAGTGCTGCCTTGAGGCCGTGTGCTGGGAGCCCCGGTGCTATCTGTCTCCCAGCCTCCTCCCAGCTCTCCCCTTTCGTGCTTACTCCTGCCAGGCGGGAGGGGGCTCTAGCATCCTTGTGGGCTCTGGGTCCCTTCTGGCTGACGCCTCCCCCCCGCCAGGACCTGTGTGCGCGGCACGAGAAGGGCCTGCTGCACAAGCCCCAGCGGGCCCTGCACTCCTACAGCCTGATGAAGAGGCCGGCGTCGGGCACCGCTGGGCAGACCCGCGAGCCTGAGTCCGTGCAGCAGCTGGAGTCGCGCATCCTGGAGGTAGTGCTGGTGTGCGGGCGGGGGCCGACCTCCTGGGGAGCCTTCCACACCTGGCTGGGCTGGGCCCTGGAGCCGTGCTTCCGGAGAGTCCTTGGTTGGCTTGATGAGATTCTGGGATGTCGATGCCCATGTGCTGGTGTCACAGGCGTGTGGGGGTGTCGCAGGGGTGGGGAAGCCGCCCCCAGGTGCCCAGAGTGATGCGTGGTCCTCTCTCTTCCCTCGGCACCTTCTGGACCCGGTTGCGATGTGTGGCTTGGCCTTTGCCTTGGGAGTTACACAGAGGCGGGGCTCCGGGCCTGGGCTCAGGAGGACGGCAGTGTGTCGGCTGGGATGCCCCCCCGCCCCCACTGCCCCGCCGTCCGCTGGGCCAGGTGCGAGGGGAGGCGCTTTCTCTGCAGCAGGAGAACGCGATTCAGACGATGGAGCTTCGGAACTACTTCTCGCTGTACTGCCTGCACCAGGAGACGCAGCTGGTCCACGTCTACCTGCCCCTCACCTCCCACATCCTCGGGGCCTTCGTCAACTCGCAGATCCAGGGGCACAAGGAGGTGGGTCTCGCCTGCGCAGACCCTGTCTCGGCCAGCACCTTTCTTTCTGCAGCTGCCCCTCCTGCGAATCTGGCACCCTTTGCCGCCGACCTTGAAGAATTGCGTGGGAGAGTTGGTGGGGTTGGGGCAAGCGCGGGACCTTGACACTTTGCTCTTGTCCGAATCTCCTAGTCGCATGTTGTCCTCGTGATTCTGGCGGGGGGGCGGGCTGTGTGTGGTGGGAGGAGCAGAGCGAGACTAAAGGAAGAGTTTCTCCTCTTCTGGAGGAATTGCAGAAGGCGGAGGTAAAGCACGTAGGATCCCTAGGAACTGACAGGCGTGGAGCAGACAGCAGGGAACCCGTGTGAGGAGTTCGGGAGTACCGGAGACGGGATATTTTCCTGGAAACCCCTGGTCAGCTTCCTCCAGATGGTGGCTCCCGAGCCTTTGAGGAGAAACGCTGTGGTTGCCCCGAGACTGCAAGCTGCGGCAGCCCTTGCCTGGCCAGAGTTGCCTGAGCCGTATAACTCCAGCTTATGTGTGTGGCTCTTTGCTCACCCTTCTCAAACAGGGACACGTGTGCCCATCTCACAACAGCCTAGAATGCCGGGGGTCTGGCGGGGGCTGAAGAAGCACTTGAGAAGCGATCCTTGTCCAGTTCCGCGTTTGCTGGCTCTGTGTCGCTCCTGCACCCTCCCGTTTTCTGATACTGTCTGTCCCGGGTTCTTTCGCTGCCTCGTTAGCCCTGGGGTGCATCTGCCGGTGGCCGCCTCCAGCTCCTTGATACACCAAGTGGGGCGCAGGCTCAGAACTTCTCCATCCCAGCTCTGTGACTGTTATGAGCTCTTCCGGCCTTGGTTGGGTCATTTAACCTCTGTGGCCCAGTTTCCCGGTCAGAAAAATGGCATAAATACAATCTCCCCACCTTCCAAGACTGGCCTGGGAGATCGGTGGGTAAGGGACCACAGGTAGCCGCTCCGTGCCCGGCTCTGTGGTTGTGAGGGTACACAGCAGGACTACAGACGTCCCTGTCACCAGGGACTACCAGATCCTGGCCGATCGGCCAGTCAGAGGGAGGGCTTCTCACGCCCTGATGGAGGCCTGTGCAGAGCCCAGGGGTGGGGGGTACAGTCCAGGGTGCTGGCAGTTCTGCGTGGAGGGACTTCTTGTGAGTAGTGCGTAGGATTGACTCGGATCCATAGTTCAGAGAGGACATTGGCAGCGGCTTAGAGGATGGGACAGAGGCTGGAGACTCTCAGTCCAGTCTGGGGCCATTGTGACTGACCAGGTCACTGGCCAGGCCAGACCGTGGTCTAGAAACAGTTGTGCCAGAACCACCTGGAGTGTTTGCTCAGCATGTGGATATGGGACACAGGTCCCACCTCAGACCCACAAACTCAGGATCCCTGGGGGCCAGGACTCGGAATCTGTGCTTTTAGCAGGGACACCGGGTGACTCTGGGATGAGAGGTCCCTAGGGGACACCGGTTGAGCCTGGGATGAGAGGTCCCTAGGGGACGCTGGGTGAGCCTGGGATGAGAGGTCCCTAGGGGACACCGGTTGAGCCTGGGATGAGAGGTCCCTAGGGGACGCTGGGTGAGTCTGGGATGAGAGGTCCCTAGGGGACGCCGGGTGAGTCTGGGATGAGAGATCCCTAGGGGACTTTGGGTGAGCCTGTGTTCCACCTGGGTCAGGCCTTGTGACCCCGATCCTAGCTTTCTCTGTTGTAGTTGACCGGCTAGTCCCCAGTGTCACAGTGCCTAGACTATACTCGCTTCATCTGCACGTTCCCAGGGAGACACCCTGCTTTCCTGCTGTCACATGAGCCACTGTCAGCTTCCCTGCTGCGCGGGCTGTGGCGGCCGTTCCTCAGCCCGGACCCGGCGTGCTTGGCGAGCGCCGGCGGCTTGTCTTACTCCTCTCCTCCGTGTGCCGTTTGTTTTGTGTTTATTTGGTGGCCGTTGTGTTGGGGTGTGCCCTGCTGAGCCGGAAGGCCGGCCCTTGTCGAGCGGTTAGAGAGTGTGCTGGAAGTGACCCAGCAAGGTTTCTTAAAATGCCGCGTCGAGCAGTGCCCCTTGGGTGCTGAGCACAGGGGCGGAGGGGCTGGCCGGCCGTCACCTCTGGTTTGGGGAGCACTCCTTACTGGGCCTCGTCCGTGGAGGAAGGGGCCGCGATGCAGGGAAGGGCAGCTTAGGGGGTTGCGACACACGGGCCTGGTGGTGGCCGTGGCGGCCTGTCCCCTCCTGCCCTAGGATGGCTGTCCTGAGACCCCTCGTTGGCGTGCGTTAGGGCGAGGGCCTGGCGCCGGCCTCTCACCCTGTCTTGCTCCCTCCTCCTGCAGATGAGCAAGGTGTGGAACGACCTGAAGCCCAAGCTGAGCTGCCTCTTCGCTGGACCGAACAGCACCCTGACGCCACCAAGGTCCCCGCAGGACGGCGTGTCTCCTCACTAGAGCCAAGGACCGGGCCGCAGCTCCCAGCGCCTCACTAAAACTTCTTTCCAAACTTGTGTCCCCGTTTAATTCCCCAGACGGCGCTGCCCCACTCCCGGGGCCCCGGCGGCGCGCTGATGCCTCTGTAGCAGAAGAGCTGACGTCCGGGCCGGGTGGGGCCGGGCTCCCCTCCCCTCGTGGGGGCAGGGCCGGGTGCAGGCCCTGAGCCTCTGAGCGTCCGTGGAAGCCGAGCTGCTCCGGCCCCTCTGCCGCCTCCCTGCCCCCACCCCTGCGCCCGTCCGAGAAGTATTAAGATCCCCTGGGATGGTTTTCTCCCAACGCCCAGAGGGCAGTGCAGCAGGGAGGGTCCCAGCCAACAGGTGGTGTACAGGGGACCCCTATGTGCTCAGGCACTCCGGAGGGCTCTGGATTCCTGAGTGGGGAGGGAGGCTGAGACCCATGAGGGCAGGAGTCTCCTGCAGCCGGCCTGCCGCCGTTGGACCTGACAGGTGACTGGTCAGTGAGAGAGCAGATGGCCCGGGGCGCTGTGGGTGCACAGGAGCGGGCAGCGGGAATGGGGAGGGAAGGCAGTGACCTGTCTCCGGGGGATTGCTCCAGCGAGTGCCCTGGGGCCCCAGTCTGGGCCTGGCCTCCAGGGCCGAATGTCCCGCATCCCTCCCCGCATGCTTGCACACGTGCACACACTGTGCCCATCGTGTGCCCGGTGCTCGGAACTGCTCTGTTCTCTCCTCTCACAGACACCCCCTTTTTGCAGACCATGAGGGGCGGGTGGGGGGTGTTGTTCCAGCTGGGGCTCTGGAGGAGCACTGCTGTGGTCAGCCCAGCTTAAACTGACCTCACTTCACTTCTTGGGGCGACTAGAACCCTCCTGCCCAACCTACCCCCTACACGTGCTGACCTGGTGCCTGCTCCGAGGGGGCCGGCCATTCCTGGAGGGTCTGACCTCGGCCTTAAATGCCTTAAATGCAGCACGGAGCCTTCCTCTGAGGTCTGGAACCCTCGGGCTTTCTTGAGCTCACTGCTCCCATTGGCTGGGAGCTGGTTGGAGGAGGCTGAACCGGCACCATAGGATTTCTGAGATTCCTGCCTCCCGGGAATATGAGCTGACTAGAGCGGGTTTTCTCTGGGTCTGCCGTGGGAGCCTTCTGCCCCCGTGTCCACACACAGCCTGCAGGACTGGAAACGGGGGCAGAGGCTCCAGGGTCACTCGGTTCACAGCAGACAGGCGGGCTTCCCTGCGGGGCTGACACCTGTCACAGTCCAGGGGAAAATGTCCCTTAGGGCTGGCCACACACTGGGCTCACTCCGCATGTGGGTTCTGCTGGTGCCAGCAAGGCAGCCGTGGGGGTGCCCCACCGCAGCCCACATGTGCCTTCCTGGCCACACAAGGAGCAGGCAGTGTCCCCGCGGAGCTGATGACCCTGGGCTGTCTGGATCCCTTGTCGCCTCCGGGCTGCTTGCTTCTTGATCTCCCTCTGCTGAAGAGAACCGCTGAGCAGATCCTGGCCCCCGGGGCTGCTCCCCTCCGCTACTGGGTACAACTGAGCCGGAAAGCGTGACCACCAGGCCTCTTCTGTCTTGTCCTGCGGTGGCCACTGCTCACCTGCCTGGGGCCTGTCTGTGCATGGTGAGGGATGAGTGACCACAGGACAGAGGACAGGCGGGAAGAGACCCCAGCCAGGCCCTGCACATGGTGGGGGTGGGGGCCATCATGGGGAGTGCCTCCAGGGCAGGACAGGGCATCCTTGCACGGGTCACCAGGGGGACTTCTAGCACCAAAGACTTCAGACGTCCTTTTCTGACAGGAGCTGTGCTCAGGACTCCGCGCTCCTGGAGCGTCTCCTGCGGTGGAGACTGGGGGCGGGTCCTCGGCTGGAGCCCTGGCCCCGTTTTTGGGAGGCTCATCTGGAGGCCTGCCTTGTAGGCCGCGCCCTCCCACCCCAGGCGCTGCAGCGAGGCCAAGGGGAGGGAAGAGACTTGCTGGGGCGGGCTTCTCAGGAACGGCGGAGGGAAGCTCAGTCCCCTGTGCCAAGCGGCTGGGGACAGCAGAGGCCGCCTTTGCACAGAGCTTCCCTCGGCCCGAGCCTGGGCTGCGGTGGATTCCCTGGTTGGGGGCCCAGCACTTTGTGCTCCACTCTGTCCTGGGGAGGGTGAGGAGGGGCCACACCAAGGTCAGGGTGTCCCTGCGCCTCTGCGCCCTTCCTGCTGCCGGAGCTGTCCTTGCTGCCCAGGAGAGCCCGCGTACCGCCACAGCCGGCGAAAGGCCACCTGGTTACATTATCCCCGTGGGAGCCGTTCCTGTGGTTCCGAGAAATCCCTGTTCTGCATGGAAGGCTGGAGCCTCAGCTTGGCCCCTGGGAGAGTGCCTCTGGATCAGGTCCTTCCAGCTCGACCCGCTTGTTCGGTGCTAACTACGGCCACGGTCTAGTCATCGGCCGCAGACGCTGAGTAGGAAGGGGAGACGTGAGCTGGGAGGTGTCAGGGGCCGAGGGGGCCTCTGGCCTGACTGCGGTCGGAGCGGTTCTGTGTCCGAGGCCTGCCTTTTGCTTGGCGCGGGGCGGTTGTACGTATGAAGCACTTTACGAGGCTGCAGGTGTCAACTGCTACCACACCCGGTAAACTGGAGTTGTTTACAAATGATCTGCATTCCGAGATTCTCATCAATAAACTTACACGAACAGTTATTATTAAACGTATTTATAAGAGCTGGGTGACGTCGTGAGTTTTCTGTGTGAGTGGTGACTCCCCCTTCCTGGTGGTGACAAATTGGGACAAGAAGGCCCCCGTGCTCTTGGGCTAAGGGAGGGTGACTAGCCTATGACACATTAGGTCTGGGTGTTAGCTCTGGGCCCCGACCGTGCCTCAGTTTCCCCTTTAAGGGAGGTGGTGAGAGAGGACACACCTAGCCCCACCCTGTGGTCCCAACAGGAGCCTGTGGCACTGAGGAAATCACTGCCCGCCCTCTCCCACCAGCCGTCCCCTCACCCCAAGGCCTATCTCCTCTCCCATTTATGTCTTGTGGCGCGGGGCACAGGCCAGCACGTCTGGTGGCTTCCTGAGGCCAGGACTGGGCCGGCTGTGGTGGGGCTGGGTGAAGAATGTTGAAAAGGTAAAAGACATTTATTTCCCTTCCCAGCCAGCCGTGTTCCAAATAGAATACCTCCACCCTGGCTCGGGGCCGGGGCCCGGGGCTCAGACAGTGCGGCTGCCGAGCAGCTGTTCTCTGGGCCCGGAGGGGCAGCCGCGGTTCTGCCCCTACACTGTGTCCACCTCACACAGCGTGTGCTCCAGGATGGTGGTGTGACCCCGGAACTTGAAGTACCCATGGAATTTCTTCTTCTGAAGCAAGAGGGGAAACCAGTATCTGTCATCAGGCCACATGTCCTCGAAGGGAATCTGGTCCAGCTGGAACCACTGAGGGCGCATTTCTGTAGCGGGAGAGAAGGGAGGGCCCCGACGTCCAACCCAGATTTAACTGGACCCCTGGCAAGGCACGAACTGAGCAAGGCTGTGTGAGGAGCTCGACACACTTTGGATTTAATCCTCGCGACCGTGTCTCTCCTTTTACGTGCCCGGAAGAAGGCTCCGTTGGTGCTGTGCATTGCAGCACCTGCCTCTCGGCAATGCAGGGCGGGGAGCAGGCTGCTGGGGCCGGCTCCTCTCCTGGCTGTCCCCTCGCCTGCTGTGAAGGGACGGGCCCTGAGACTCACCGTCACTCTCCACGGGTGTCCCCCGGACGCTGTCTGTGCGGAAGATGTGCACGTCCATGAGCTCAGGGTCACCCGCAAACTCAAACACGATCTGGCCCACCTTGTGCAGCGCGTCCACGGTCAGACCGCTCTCCTCCTGCAGCTCCCTGCGGGCCGGGAGACGGATGGAAAGAAAGCGGCAGTTAAAGCAAGGTGCCCACGTCCACGCAGAACCCGAGAATGGCAGTGGGAGGATGGAAGAGCAGAGCATCTGTGCACGTGCGCCGAAGGGGCCCAGGGAGCCGCGAGTGGGATGCGCGGGCGGGAAACCCGGAGCGTCTCGTGGAATGCACGGCGAGCTCCCAGCCTGGCGGAACTGTGGAGTCGCCTGGGACCTTTGTAAACACTCCGATTTTGTTCAGAGGTTCTAGGGAGGGGTCAAGATTGTGACGAGCACTGGTTCTTCCTAGTTCAGCGCCCTCTGTAGCACGTGGCAGCCCAGGCCTGGCCCGGCTCAGCTGCTTGGGGGCCTCATGGGAGGCCGGTGGTGGAGCTGGGAACCCCCAGCCCGTCCTCAGCTCCTGCTCTCTCCCAGCACGTCTGCGGCAGGGCCCAGGTCCTGAACGGAAACCTTTCTGCCCAAAGAATCGTCCTTCCTCACCACAAGCAGAATCACGATGCCCCCAGAACATTCTAATGCTGTCGCCTATTTACAGACGTTTCCCGCAGACAATCCAGGAGGTGCCCACGGACTCCTCACTCAGAAAGAGCCCTTGTCTCCATCTCAGTGTTCTTCCTTTGGCTCTTTCTCCTTTGTACATCCCTTTAAAAATTGCAAGCGGCCAGCCCAGTGGCACAGCAATTAAGTTCGCACATTCTACTTTGGCGGCCCGGGGTTTGCCAGTTCGGATCCTGGGTGCGGACATGGCACCGCTTGTCAAGCCATGCTGTGGCAGGCGTCCTACATATAAAGTAGAGGAAGATGGGCACAGATGTTAGCTCAGGGCCAGTCTTCTTCAGCAAAAAAAGAGAAGAGGATTGGCGGCAGATGTTAGCTCAGGGCTAATCTTCCTCAAAAAAAAAAATTGCAAGCACATCACACACTGTACCTTCACTTTTCATGCAACAGTGGGGCAACATCCTACACAAGGAATTCAACCAGCTTCTCAACCGTCGTGCATTAGAGAATAAAAACTGTCAACGTGCTCGTGTCGATCCCCCGTGACGAGCATCTCTGTACATGCCCCGCACCACTGACTTCTCACCCTGGCTGACAGCTCAGCGTGGGCTCTCACTCCACCCTTGTTCAGTCACTCAGCAAACGCTTTCTGGAAGCTGTGCTGTGCTCAGGACTCTGGGGACCCCCAGAGCTGCTGCAGCCGTGAAGCTCAGAGTCTGCTGCTCCCTGTAGAGATTCACACTTCCCCCCGCCCCGTCTTTACTTCTCCGTCTACAAGAATGTTCTAATTACGTCTGACTACTTATAGTTGCAGGTGTAAAGTTTTTAGCTTTGATTTCCAGGTGAGGTGAGGACACAGCGCATCGTTACTTCCTGTGCCTGGGCCCAGGGCTTGGGGAAACCAGCGTGTTCATTCACGCACACCCCGGCTGGAAGGGCGACGTTTAAACGGATGCTGTCCTCAGCCTAGGGCTGACCGGCTCCCTGTGAGGCCTGGACAGGAGCCGCGGCCACCTGCTGCCATTTCAGATGCAGGCCCGGGTGAGTTGTTTTTTTCTTTTGAGGAAGATTAGCCCTGAGCTAACATCTGCCACCAATCCTCCCTTTTTACTGAGGAAGACTGGCCCTGAGCTAACTCTGTGCCCATCTTCCTCTGCTTGATATGTGGGATGTCTGCCACAGCATGGCTTGACAAGTGGTGCGTAGGTCCACACCCGGGATCCGGAGTGGTGAACCCCGGGCCACTGAAGCGGAACGTGTGCACTTAACTGCTGTGCCACTGGCCGGCCCCCCCCCAGTGATGTTTTGAAAGCTGGGATTTACTTGTTGAGATGGTTAATTAAAATTAGACTTGACCTAGAAAACAAATGTTTGTTTTCACTCAGGGGGTGCAAATGGCTCCCCACTTAAATGTAACAGAAGAGCCTAGCGGGGCCTCACCTGGGCTCTGGCAGTGGCTGGTGGGTCTCATTTTAAAAACTGCACCTCCCGATTTAATGTTCTGACTAATTTTGGTTCCTCTCCCCGAGCACACGGCAGCGTGTGAGATATCAGCATCTCCCGGGTGTCAGAGCTGAATCTCCATTTCACGGGCTGGGCTAATGAGACAGCGGAGATGACACTGTTACAGTTTTGCTAACGTGTCTGACTGCATCTCTGTGATGCTCATTTCCCAGATGGCAGATGGAGAACGGGATGAGTAACAAGTTGCACAAACTCCGAGCAGCCAAGTGCCATGGGGGCGTGGGCGGCGGGCGCGAGGGGCCTGTGGCATGGCTCGGGATGCACCTCAGTTATCCTCTCCTGCACTGCCTTCCAGGGTTCTCTGAACACAGCGCTCTGCATCCTCACTGCTTTGGGGACCGTCAGGGATACTGGCCAGAACGATGAGCACATGCCACACACCCAAAGCCCAAACCTGACTCTCTGAGGGACCCGAGGTCCCCAAGTTCCTGGAACCCCCCCCCCCGAAGAATGCATCATCCTTGATGCTCAGATGGCTCCCCCCGCAGAGGCATCGGGCAGAGGAGGGGAGACCCACCCGCACACAGCTGCCCTGCACCTGCAGGTGAGCGAGGAGGGTGTGTTATCCTGGCTCTGGATCTGGGGCCCACTTTGGGACCCGAATGTGCAGAAGGGCAGTGCAGTGGATAAAGTGTGCACCAGACGCACACCCAGCGCCACCGCGACTCACGTGCACGTCAGAGGCTGGGGCAGCCAGGGCCTGGGGCCCGGGGAGCGGCTCCGTGTGTGTGCACGTGAGGAAGCCGGGGCAGCCCTAGCTGGGGCTGATGCCGAGTTGTCCTCAAGGCGAGTGAGGCCCTTTTTGCTGCTGGAGTCTCTGGGTCCTGGGACCCATCTCAGCTAGCTCCTCACGTGTATCAGAATGTGCCACTGGGCCTGCCCTTCTCACTCCCCTGGGCAGGGGCACAACAGTCTTTGTCAGAGGGTGTCCTGACCCTTGGCTCCGTCCTACACACTTGACACTCTGGGCTCCTGGGAGGAGGAGACGGGGGTCCTGGAGAGAGCTCCTTGGAACTGGCTGAAGGCCCTGGGAGGCAGCGTGGTGCCACGTGGTCACCGAGGCTGACCGGTCTAAATCAGGCGGTCAGCATGGCCAGGGGTGCTGGACATCTCAGTCCCAGTAAGGCCTGTCCTTGCCTTCATGCAGAGCTGGCCCTCTGCTCTTGGCTCCTGAGCATGGCAACCTATGCCACGTGGCCACGGGGAGGATGTTCTCCAGGGGGAGTGTGCTGCTGGCAGGGGCAGGGTACACCCTTGTGGGCGCCCGGCCTCGCCCAGGAGCTCACGGCGGTCAGGAGGAAGCACCCTCCACGGCCCTGCCTGCTGGACGAGGCCTCCGAAGCGCAAAGAACTGTGAGCCTCTAAGAGGCTACTGAGACCTTCATAGCAAAGCTGGGAGTAAGGCTGAACGACGAGAGGAAGTCACCGATTTGACGATGGTTTCGTGACCTGGGTGAGGTCAGGACAGAGGCACAATGTTGTGGGCACGGGGCTGCTGCTCCACCGGCCTCTGGCTGTCCACCGGGCATCTAGAGGGCAGACTCCCAGGGCCAGCGCGGTGTCAGTCAGTTCTGCCGAGCTGATTCATTTATCCGCATATCCATCCAGCCACGTCATGCCTACAGAAGGCAGGCCTGCCCTGTGCGGGCGCTGGAGAACGAAACCGACATTACGGTTCTACGTGACATATGTCCTGTGTTTATGACAGTGGTGACACTACAGTGCAGTGGGGGAACATGGTCTTTCCAATAAATGATGCCGTGTCAGCTGCATATCTATATGGAAAAATAGGAATCTTGACCTTCTGCCATACATCATACACAAAACTCAGTGCCAGATGGATTAAAGATCTAACACTTCTAAAAGTTTTAGAAAAAAGCAGGAGACTATCTTCTTAAGTTTGGGATAGGCAAAGAGTTTTTAAAGGATGTGGAAAATGGTAACCATAAAGGAAAAAGTTGTATGTGGGATTACATCAAATGATAAACTTTTGTTTATTGAAATATCATTAAGAGTCAGAAGACAAGCCCCAGAGAAGATATTTGCAGTACATATGTTTGACAACTCAAGTCTCAAACGTTTAAGGAGACTTCTGGGTTCTGCTTCCGCAGGTAAGGAGCTTGGAAGTCACCCCTCCATCCTACAGCAAGTAAAAAGCTGAAGTGACCAAACAATCCAGGACTCTTCTTGGGTCTACGAGAGGGATGCAGACCCCTGCCCCCACAGTTAGAGGGACGGGCGCACGCAGAGTCCCGGCTGCCCGGCGCAGACTCGTGAGTGGAAGCCACTGCCCGGGCAGGAAAGCTGAACGGTAACTGAGGAGTCACTGCAGGCTCAGCGTGGCCCCGTCTGAGTTACACACTCCAGGGGGCCTCAGTCACTGGGGGCACGGGGGCCACAATATCGTGAGATTCATTTCCAGGAGCTCGACCAGGTTCCCACAGTAAATATGGAGAAAAATCCCCCCATGCTTCCTGCAGGGGGAGGGGAAGGAACCACTTAGAAATCCCCCAGAGCCCTCTGTTCATCACGAGGGGCCCCAGGGGGAACTAGTGAGCCAGAGCCTAAGTGACCTGCCAGATGGGAAACACCCAGGTCCAGCTAGCTGTAGCGACCCTGTCCCACCTAATGGGGGCGTGCGGGGAGGAGGAACCTAAGACACTCTTGTGAAGGTCACGGTCCAGAGGCACAGGCCACGGAAACCCCGAGACCGGATCACAGGACTATAAACGCTTCCTTCCCCCACACTCGCCCCCACAGCACGACAGGCCTGTTGATGGCAGTTCCTCGTGCCGGGTGCATCGTGTCTGGCTGTGAAGAACAAACTACAAGGCACACCAAAAGGCAAAAAAACACTGTTTGAAGAGAGAGAACAAGCACCCGGCATGGCAGGGACGTGGAATTACCAGACCGGGAAATTAAACAACTATGATGAATATGCTCAGGGCTCTAATGGGAAAGTAG